CGGCCGCACGTCGAACCGCGTCTGTCTCTGCGAGCTGCCGCCCGTCCCACGACCTCATGAGCTCTGGGCACGTTGACGCTGACATTCCAGTATGCTACTCATTTCACCTGCACAAACAAATGTATAAGCCTCAGCTCGGCTAGAATCCACGTTATATGATGAAAATATACCTTCGCTGAACAGGTTTGTCACATCGACAAACCCGAACACGGCGAGCTGCTCCGAGGTAACCAGGGCTTCTAGATCTATAAGACCCTCCCCCTGCGCATACTGAAGCAGCTGGTTCTTCAGATCGACATTCCGGGGCAGCAACTGGGGGTAGTTGATGTGGGCGTTTGGCATGCGCCACTCAGACAGCCGGGCAGCGAGGTCGTTGTTTATCCTTTCCGCTCGTGCGTCTCGAACAAAGATAAACTGTCTCTTCCACCTCGCCACTTTGTTCCTCACGTTTTTGAAGAGCTGGCTCTTATCCCTCCCAGAGAGGTAGTACCACTTCGCTCCTCGTGAGTTCGGACACAGCCAGCACTGGAATAGCGACCTGAACACTATCGCTTTAGCTGGCATTTCCAATCTTGCGCATAACAACATAAAGCCTATGATGAACCTTATGTTGTTGGGCGTTAGCTGCGTCAGCGCCAGCTCGTATTCCGCGAGCAGATCGAACACCAGGCCGGGCAGGGGAAATCGCAGGCCGGCGTCAAAGTGGTCCGCGTATACTGGGATCCAGCCCGTTTGCGACACCGTGCACGCCCTTTCGTTCTTCCCACCAGTCCGCAGCAGTATGGTTTTGGGGATGTGGTACGCCCTCACCATCTCCTCGAGCCTTTTATATCCACTTATGGAGGGTGTACAATCTGCTACTTCGTGATGAAGTGCAGCCCTGAACCTGAATCCAGCGGGCAGGTCCTTTGGTGCTTTTCGCAGGTTGCTCAGCCTGCCCGGGATCGTCGTGCTTTCCCATTCCCCAATCACCGGCCGATCTGAGACACTGCTCACCACGTCCCCCATCCCTTCCTCGCGGCTGGGTGTCTCTTCGGTAGACGAGCTGCTCGACGATGCACTACGGTGGTCGTCACCGTTGTCGCTGGTGTTGGAACCGGCGCTGTTCTCAGACGCCGTTGTTTCCAGTACATCCTGCAACTCCGATGGCACTATCATAGTGATAGGCTCCACGGACAAAACCCCTTCCTCTTCTCCCTCTCTGCCCTGGTTACCTCGTTGCTCTGTGAGTTCTCTCAATGAAACCATTTTTACCTGAAACTGATGTGAAGTCGATTCGGTGTACTGTTCTTCAAGCTGGAGCGTTTCGCTTCGGAGGATTTTAGAACGTTTAAGCAAATACAGAAATGAAAATGAAAAAGAGGAAACGGTTACGCAGAGAAGGATATGGCGCTGTTAATTGCCGTACGCGTGTTTCTGACGCGCCAACTAGCGTCCCACACGTGGCAGGCGCTTAACGCCCCTCCTGCATAACGTGCGCCGGTTTTAGCTGTCACGTCCCTCAAATGCTGAGCCAGCATTTATGACGGGGAAGGCAAAGAGATACGGGAAGTTCAATCGTATCTCCTCAGAGATTTGCTTGCCTCAAAAAATCCCAAGATTCAGATCGTAACTGCTGATGTGCACCCCATGCTGTACACCAGCTCGCCATTGTGAGCATACTTGCCAGGTCGTTACAAAAATGACACATTCGCCAGATCGGCTCAACCCGGCCAGTTCGGTCACAAGTGTAGATCGTATGCTAAAATCCCCCAGATTCAGATCGCCACACATCATGACGGCAACCACATTTCTCAGGTCGTTACACGGATTGCAACTCGCACTAGGCCACAAACCCCTGCATAAATCAATGGGTGCCTGTGGTCACCCTATTTGACAACACTACATGTGCGAGCTGATAAAGTGGTGACGTCGCCGCGTCTTGTGGCCATAGCTAACTGAGCGTCACTAGGTCGCACTTCGGTAGTACTCAAAGG